AGGTGACTTGTGGAGGATTATCACGTGGAACTGGATGTGGCATTTCTTTAGGATCCATGAATATTTGAAGCTGACCAAAGTATATTAGTGGCGGAGGGCTGTGAACTGGAGTGCATGAGCCTGCGGTGGGTGGAACATCAGGAAACATTGGCCGTGGCCCTGAGAGCATCTGAATAGCTGTCATGGCCCCAGGCAGTGTCCATGCTTCATGTAATACCCAGGCAGGAGCCAGGTGGGGCGAGCCTGTGGCTCCAGCTCACTCCCAAGTCCTATTCCATGGCCTTCCTATCACCTGCCTCCAGGCAGCAGGTGTGCCCCTCCACCGGGAGCACACATGGACTCTCACCCTCCTTCCACTCTAGGGCATTTGGGGGGACCACCAGCATTAGGGCTACCTGGGGAGCTTATTCCAAAGGCCCCTCTTCTCTCTATTGAGCCAGAATCCCCAGTGATAGGACGTGGGGATCTGTATTTTTAACATATTCCACAAGGAGTTATATTCATACTTTAATTGGACAGCCATTGGCCACGTGAAGCCATTTAAGTTAATTTTAGAAGATTGAAGCTCTAGTTCCTCGGTCACACTGGCCACAGCTGAGGTGTTTAATAGTCACGTGTGGCTATAGGAACATTTCCATTGTGGCAGGAGGTTCCGATGGTCAGTGCTGGGATGGGCAGGGAAGCACCAGCTGGCCAGCTCCTGCCGGTATGGGGTTTCTGTCTTGGCTGATGCATGGCCCTGGTAATGTTCTTTCCTACAGCGAGTTAACGCACCTCTCCAGGTTGCCTAATTCCTGCTTAATAAGCTTCATCCCTTATTTTAGGGAACTGGGCAGCACCAGAGGGGGCACCACTGCACTTGGATGAAGGGGAGAAAGTACGGTAGGAAATCAGAGTCCAAGCATGTCTGTAGGCTCGTGGAATTGATGAGACTTATGTGGACTTCAGCAATCTTCTAACTAGACCAAGCTCCTTCTGATTTCTGTTGAAATCTCTTAGCATTAACATTTAAGATCTTTCTAATTGGGTGGTTTTCTTTCCCCCCTTGAATAAGAACTAAATTCCCTTGCGCTTCCCTCCTCTTGTCAGCCTTTGAAGTCATACAGACATTGGAAAAGGTCAGAACACCGTTTTTAGAGTGTTTGGTCTCCAGCCTGGCTTAACTTTAAAGTGCCTAAACCAGTTAAGATCAACCTTTCAAAACGGTGCCCCGCTGGGTGCCAGTTTGAGAGTGTGGCATCCTTGAAAGGACTTCTTTACATTTAGAAGGATTTGAAAAGGCCATTTGACATGACAGTGGGTCTCCAGGTCTAACTGTGTCACGCGCCATCCTGTCCGTCTTGTGCTGTGGGCTTAGGACTTTCTGATGGAAGCTCTGCTGTGTCCTCGGGGTTCCTCTCCAGAACTACGTTCCAGATGGAGAATAATGGTTGTCCCGGCCATTTCCAGATGGCCTCCGGGGGCCGAATGGAGAGCCGGTGCTGGCTTTGTGGTTGCCACTTCACCGTCCCCATCCCTGCAGCATGGCCAGGGGTGGTCACGTGCAGATGTGAGTGTATTTATGGCAAGCCTCTTGCCTTTCCTAGTTGCCATGTCCTCAACAGAAGGGCCACGATGCCTCTGTTTGGGTGACATAATGACTCTTCATTAATCACATGGGACAATCAATAAAATTAACTCTCCAGAGAGCTTGAAACACTTGTTGACAATTGGAGTGTTTGAATCAGGGTATACATAGGGTCTCCATGTTACGTTCGGCTGCTACATCGAAGTCTTTTATATATGTAGGTTCTGGTTCCCTCTTTTTAAGTCTTAATTTAATTTTTAATTTTGGGGAGGGTAGTTAGGTTGTTTTTTTAATTTACTTATTTATTTTAATGGAGGGACTGGAACTCAGGACCTCATACACGCTAAGCATGCGCTCTACCACTTGCTACCCCCCGACCCTGCTCTTTTTAATTCTCAAATCCTGCAGTCCTTGTGAGTGACACCAGGTTGCTTGCCCGATCGAATTTTTCAGTCTCGATTTTGCTGGTTTCCTCCCCATGGTGCCGGCCAGCCCGCGTTCCTCTGTCCCCATGCTTTCTGTTAACCAGTGGCTAGATCTACAGCCTTGATCAGATTTGGGCTCTGCTGTTTTAGCAGGACTACATCGTCGGTGGCACTCGTCTTTCTCTTGAATCATGGCAGGAGTTCTCTGGCCTCTGCGTGTCTCACTTTGTGATATTGGATGGATTGCTGGGTTCAGAGGTCATTCTGATGCTTTCATTGTAAAGCTCCACACTAACCTGTACCTGCCAGAGTCAGTGGCCTTTACCAGTGAATGCCTAGATCAGTTCTCTCTTTAGGTCTAGCAAAGGGTGATGTTCTAATTCTGTTGTTCTTCGTTTCGTTAGCTGGGATTCGTTTAGAGAGCCACTTTCCCTCGTCAACTGCTGGTTTCCCCTGAGGCCTGAGCTAAAAGGCAGGATACACTCCTTAGGGAACTCCTCTCATCATTGCTCTGCCTTTGCCTGCTGGTAACCACTGTATCCCCATATTTAGTATCTCACTCTTGGGGGTTCACTCCACGGCCCCTTGTGGGGCACCCCCATTTGTGACAGGCTCTTTGGGGGTGCAGAAGTGTGCAGAGCTTGTTCCTGAGCAGCTGCTGCAGTGCGGGATATAAGCCTGACCCTGAAACCACTCCATGGAGCCCCTGATTTTCTTGTCCTTTTAAAATCAGCTGCATCCCTGCATCCTGCATGGAAGCACGTGCTCAGGGGTTAGAATAGGAAAGCAGGAACTGGCCCCAGCGTTGCTGGCACGAAAACTGGTCTGAATTGGGGTCCAGACATCGCCTGTCCCTTCAAGGGCTGTTTCCATGCCAACAACAATGGCAAATTAAAGCAACTGTTTCACTGGCAAGCAGATTTAGTCACACTGAAGGGAAAGAGTGGTAAGTTCCTTAAAGACCTGTGACCTGGAAGGATGCAGAGGCTAGCCACACTTGTTCAGGTGCACCCGAGAAAAACAGAAAGAGCCTTTATCTAAAAATGTTATGAAATAGTCACTTTCCCCTCTCAGTGTGCTGGTGGATTTCACTGTGGGATGAAGTGGGTTTACCATAAGGGGAAAATAAGAGTTTCTTTCTTTCTTTCTTTCTTTCTTTCTTTTTTTGTGTGTGATTTTCTTCCTTATGAAAAACATGTGGCAGATAGAAGGGGATATAAAGCCAAACCCCCACAGCAGGGAAATTATTTTGGGAGATGATTTATTTATGCGTAGAGTTATTTTCACAGCCCTTCGGAGGCCATCTCTGCAGTCTTAACTGGCCTAGAGGATTTTGTTGGTCAGTTTCTTGGTTTTCTTTGAAAAGTCTGACAGGCTCCCAAGGAAGTTCCCTCCGTGTGGTGTTGGCAGCCAGGCAGCACCCATTTAACAAATCTCAATCCCACAAAAGTTCCCTTGGGAGTTCTGGAATATGGTTTTTATGTGCAGTTTTTACAAAGTAAAGAAATTAATATTTTCAGTAAGTCCCCATGCTATTGTACATTCATACTGACAAAATATACAGAATGTTAGAAGGTTGGTTAAATGAAAAAAACATTTAGTGACATTAACTGCTTACTTCAAGTACCGTGCTTACAATGTAATAAATACGTTTAAGATACATTTAAATTATGGATCAAATTTATTATCTTACCTAATAGAATGATGCTTATGACTTAATTCCATTACTCCTTTTAATCTAAAGATACTTCTTCATGCAAAAGCCTGTATTTTTTACATTGGACCATAAATCACTTATATAGACATTACACAAATCTCTTTTTGTTTAGAAAATTAATGCTTTAAAAAAAAGAGCATTTTAACAAAAGGCAAAGGCTTAAAGTTGAATCATGTGTGGGGAAAAAAAAAAGGAATAAAGATTTCTGAGCAGGAAAAAAAAAAGCTGATGCCTTTTCCCAGGTAATTTTTGCAAGTTAGAACCTAAGTATAATGACTGATGTAGATGGCAATGTGTTATTAATTAGTTAATTCATTAGTTGGTTTATGCCCTATCATATCACAGAGAAAAACCAAGGTTGCTAAAAAGATAACATGAATTAATTAATTGACCTTCTCCAAATGTATAGACTATCCCTTTCCCCAGTACACTAATGCTTCTGTATTTCACTCCATTTTCAGAGAAACAATTGTAGTTCATACTGCTAGAAATGATGAAGATGACCATTTGGGGAAGAATAATGTATGCCTGTCATTGCTTTACTTTTTATGTGTTCAGGTGCAAAGAAGATTTAGTGTGTTATAAAGGAGAAGCATTAGAACCGAGGAGACGGAAACATGAAATCTCTGGTGTATGTAAGCTTTGTGACTTTAGGCAAATTAATCAACCTCTCTGTACCTGGCTTCTCTCATCTGTAATCTGAGGATAATAATGCCTTATCAGTTTGGGGACTAGACTGGACGGTTTTCAGGAGCACATTTCCACTCTAAGATCTATGGCCTCAGTAATTTCCCGAATTAGTTTATGTTCTTACTTCTCCCAGAGGAATTCTTGAACTAATCACACTGGAGAAAGCATACTTACGATATTTGATGTGGAGTCGTGTAGAGCAGATCGTATTTAAGCATCGAGACCGATTAAACAATTCCTACGAGAGCCAAGGTTTCTTCTTTAGTTGGACTTAAGTGAGCCAGGAAACCTTTATCAGTAACTCCTTCCACGTGGCCCTGAGCTCCGCTTCCCTGAGACCTAAGAATTCCAGCGTGCATCTCTGTGCTCGGAGCAGCCTGTCTGTTGGGAGATTTAAACACATGAGATTACGTGTCAGAAGGAGGTGTGTGCACTCGGGGAAGTGCGTGGCCACTCGGGGAAGCGCGTGGCCAGCACTGTGAGACAAGCCTGGGATACCCACTCTCAGGATGGAGACCCACTCTGGTGGGAGGTGCCCAGGGGAGGAGGCGACCCCACGGTCTGATGACCTTTGATGGAAGTCGGGGGCCTTCAAGATGTGCTGATATGTGATCGTGACCTTAATCTCCTTAAAGCCTTTGAAAGTTATTTTAAAAGCAAATATGGTGATACAAGAAAGGCAGCAAGGAGCCTCCAGATTCTAGTTACGCTGTTTCTCAAACCCAGTGATGGATATGTGAGTGTTCTCTTTAGGGCTCATTTTTTACATTCTTTTGTATGTGTTCCGTAGCCACAAAATTAAGCACTTTTTTTTGTGGCAAAACCTACCCACTTCTTTTGTCCACACTCAAGAGTGGCCAATACTGCTTTTTCGAACACATGTTTCTTCTTCCCTTCTGACCTCTTTGAAAGGAAATAGTAATGGGTTTGCAGAGGGCGCTGTCATTGAAATGGGTTTAAGAAAAGTGATCACTTTCTGTTGCCAGGAACGAGAAAAAGCTAAATATTTTGGTGAATTAACATCTTTTTTTCTTTACTCATTGCCATGGGATTCCTGTAAGTGGAGATAGTGAAAGCAAATACAAATATTATATGAAGAGTGGGGTTTCTCAGAATGTAGCTGTAATTAAATGTCTGTACTGACATAAATAAATACACTTATATATCCTCACACATTCTGTAATATATGATATTACATAAATATCGGTCATTATAGGATGCAATGGTTCATTTTGGTAGGTTGAACCAGTAACCGATGAACTATGTTTAGAAAAATCTATTAGTTCATGGTGTACTTTCAGTGGCTTTTCAAAAACCTCTACAGCAGTGTAAATGGGACTCATGCCCTGGAAATAATCTGTATATTTTGTTTTAGAAACAGAAATTAGGGCTCCTTTGAAGGTAAGATTGAATGTTATTTCCTCCCAACCTTTATATGCAGAGTATTAAAAAGTATTATAATCCTTTTTTATTAATGGAGAGAAAGACTTCCAGTCTGGGATGTGTTCTGCCATTTTCACTTTTCACATTTTGGTACTGAGGTGCCTGATGCTCTCTGTAATGCACGGACTGTTTATTCTTGTGTGGTTGTGTATTGGTTCATCCATTCAGCAGACAACACATCAGACGTTGCTCTGGGCATTGGGATATGGAAAATGGGCTTGTCTGAATTGATTTAAAACAGATACTCACCATGGGGCATTGGGAAATTACAGTTTCTGATTAATGTAATAGGGAAATTAGAGAAATAGTATATTGCTCTTCCTCTTCCAGTCTTTGTCCTGCCTTTTTCTCCAACCGATTGAGTCATTTTTGCCTCTTTCTAAGTACAATCTTAGTTGCTTTAAATTTACCAGTATCTGTAGCATGTGTGCATATATTAGTAGACACACATACACATATATTGTATATATGTGTACACAAATATATAACTAAATATATATGACATACCACACAATTGTCTATTTCCTGGTGTGATCTGTGGATGGTCTGTTTCTGTCACGGTGCCTTTGGGGCGTCATGACAGGGGCAGACGTCATCGCTGTGGCTCTGCCAAAGCGAACCCCCCCTGTTTTAAGACTGATGATCTTGGGGTTTGAACACAACTCTCCTGTTTGGGACTGTGGCCGTAGTCCCCACCAGTTCATGTCAGGTTTTCATATTGCCTCCTTCACAGCCTGAAAGCCATCCGAACAACTAAATGGCCTGAAGGAAAGAGTCGAATTGCGAGTATAAACCTCTATGTGTTCAGAATGCGGGAATCTGCTTGCCTTTAAAGATTTTTTTTTTTGCTTCCAATTTTTATTTTACCCTTTTCCCCGGGAGCCCAGTTTCTCTAAACGAGAACCAGATGAAAATCGACGATTAGTCCCTCCAGTCTCCTGTCCTCATGTGAAGCTTTCTTGGTCCCCATAGAGAATTTTTAAGTGTTTGGGGCTGTCCCAACAGCTCTCCCTTTGGACTCTGCTGTAAACACTCACCATTTTTGATTTATGAGAATCCCAGGCAGGAACAGAGGTCAACTTTTCAAATGTAAAGTTGCATCCAGGTTTGCCTGTGAACACAGATAATTCAGCAGGCGGCTTTGAGAGGTGGCTCCAGGTAATCTGTTCTATTTTCCCAGGACAGACTGGACAGCAGAGAGGAGACCAGTTGGTGGTTCGGGAACATCTATGGCAAAATGGCTGGTGCTTGTAGACGGTGACTCAGGTGTTACCTGGTCACCGGGGGTGGCTGCTAACCTCAAAGGCTGGATCGTGACCTCTGGAGTCATCCCAACTATGCACATCCAGAAATTATTCTTGACAGGACTTCTGAGGTCTGAGTCACCGTGATCAAACTCACATGTGGCAGACATCTAAACTGGAATCGTTCTCAGAGGCCCTGGGCAGTCGAGTCAATGATCAGGACTGGAAGAAGGGGCAAGGCTAAGCCATCCAGAGGAGCACTGGGGAGACAGTCAGGTGGCAAAGCCACAGCCCTGGAGGGAGAGGTCAGACTCGGAGCTTCCACACTGTTTACTCTCTGTGGGACTCTGGCCAAATGCTTAACTTCTCAAAACCTCAGTTTCCTCATCTCTGAAATGGGAATAGTACCCCCTAGAGTTGAGGTGGATTCAGTCATGTGATCCTAGTATGGCGTGTTGCCGAGTGCCCAGCCTATAATAATGCTTAATAAATTAGCTTTGTTTTTTTTTTTACTTAAAAATTTTTTTATACAATTTTGAAAGGTTAATTTCCATTTACAATTATTACAAAATATTGGCTGTATTCCCTGTGTTGTACATATATCCTGAGCCTGGCTCACACCCAGTGCTTTACACCCCGCCCTCCTGCCTCTGTGTCACCCCTCCCCCCATTGATAACCACTAATTTGTTCGCTGTATCTGAGTCTGCTGCTTTTTTTGTTATATTCACTAGTTTGTTGTATTTCTGAGATTCCACATATAAGTGACATCATACAGTATTTGTCTTTCTGTGTCTGACTTGTTTCACTCAACATGATGCCCTCCCAGTCCATCCATGCTGCTGCCAACGGCAAAAGCCATTCTTTTCTATGGCTGAGTAATATTCCACTGTGTATATGTATGTGTACACACCACATCTTCTTTATCCAGTCATCTTGTCTCCTTTGGACCCTTCAGTTGCTTCCAAATCTTGGCATTTGTAAATAATGCTAGTGAACACTGGGGTGCATGTATCTTTTCCAATTGTTAATTCAGGGCAGAGCGAGGCCCAGTGAGCCACTCCTGCTGACAACAGGCCCCTGTTCCAGGGAACAGAACCTCGGCGGCCCCCACGGTCAGTGTCTCTCCCTCCTCAATCGTGCTGGGTGAGCCCGCCTTGTTCCTGTCTCTGTGGCTGGACGCCCCACTCTGGATTTCTCCAGAGCTGCCCTTTCTGTCCCCAAGTCCCTCTTTTGGCCGTAGAGGTCGTACCTGTTGGACTGCTGCTGGCCCCCGAGGTCTCCAAACACACCTTCCAGCCTCTGCCCTGGGAGGCCACTCGTTGTTCAAGGGGGACTTCCGTGGATAAAGAGAGAACTCCCTCTTTTCCCCCAGTTTTGCTGAGATACAGCTGACATGCAGCACTGTGTAAGCATCAGGTGTAGAGCGTGATGACCTGACTCACAGGCGTCACGAGCTGATCATCACAGCAAGTAGTGACTGTCCATCATCTCATAGAAAAAACAGAAAAAAATCTCCCTTGTGATGAGCACTCAGGATTCACTCTCCTAGCAGCTTGCGCTTGTCATGTGCAGCAGTGTCAAGCATCTTTGGCACGTGGTACATGACATCCCTAGAGCTTATCTGTCTTATGCTGGACCTTTGTGCCTTTCGACCATCTTCATCTAGTGCCCGCCCCTACACCCTGCCTCTAGTAACCACAGATCTGATGCCTTTTTCTGTGAGTCTGTTTTTGAAGCGTCATGGGCGGAACTCCTCCCTTTCCTATTGATTTCCTGGTTTAACCCACAGAGAAAATGTTCATTCCCTTTATTTCTAAGTTCTTCAAGGAACCTGTCACCATTGCACCTCCCTGGCTTCCTCCTGCCACTAACGGGCCAACTCTATTTCCCTCAGTTTAGCTGAAAGACATTTTTTTTTTCAGTGTTAAGTGTTTGTCCCACCAAACCAGGCGATGAGGGTTTTGAAACTTTTTCAGGAAGAGATCCACCAGCTAAGTCAGTTGTATTGCACTGGTTTAATCTTCAGAGGGTCCTTTATTCCTTCAGAGGTTGGTGGAGGGGGTGCTCTCTCTAACCCATGTGTAGACAGTGACGAAGGGTCGTTCAAGGCCACAGAGACGGAGAACGAGAGAACCCAGGGCGGCAAGCTCACATCTGCGCGTCAAGCACTGGAACTGCGTTTTCTCACGTAAAAGGTTTAGCTATCTCAGACCCGATCGCAGGGCTGAGAACTTTGAAGTGAACAAACAAACAAACATGAGTGACGTCCTGTTTTCTGTTATTAAGGAAAACATGTCGTACCTCTTGGTAGTAAACAAACTTTGCAGACATCTTGAAAGGAGGGTTTTTGGAGCCACCAGGGCTCCTGCTCATTGCGTGAACTTATGATTCAACTGGACTGAGTCTTGTTTGTCCTCTTAAATCTCCTTTTTTGAAAACGTGTTTTTGTTCTGTGTCACGTTCACTTGGATCTCCAAGAAGGTTATTTATTTTATCAGATAAATGGGAAGCAATCAGCTAGGAATCTGATCATCGTGATGAAACCCCGGCTGTGCTGTGTGAACATAGGAACTGGCCTCTCTAAGCCTCAGTGTGGTGTCTGTAACACGGGGATCACCAAGATGATCCTTTTGTTGAAAGAATTAAATCAGCAGTCCATGAAAGGACTTAGCCTAGATCCCAAGGCGTAATTAATGTCCCTTAAATGTTAGCTGGTATTAATTCAACCAACATTTTGGCTTCTCCACTACAGAGCAGGCATTGTGCAAACACAGGGGTACAGTGGGGAGCAAAGGAGGACCAGTCTTGTCCCCTGAGAGCTTGCAGATTATTGGGTCAAATGAGTAAGGCTGCAAAGAATGAATTACGCCGTTATTGCTTCTGACAGTAGAAACGAGAGCAGGAAAGGTATCTCGGTCTTGGCAAACCAGGAAAGGCACCATCACCCGTGGAAGCAGCCAGGTGAGCTTCAGGCTGAGCGCACAGAGGCGCGCAGGCCCAGGTGGGGAGGAGCTGGGGGCGTGGAGGTGCTGGCTGAGGCCCAGACGGCGAAAGCTCGGAGAATGGCCTGGCAGCCAGCCAAGGGCTGACAAAGACCAGACCCCACCAAGCCCCTCGTCAGGGCTCTATCCTGTGTGCTCTGGAGGCCGCCGAAGGCTGTAAGTCGGGTAGCAATGCCATTTGCATTTTCAAAATGGTACCCTGACTGCTGTGCTGAGAGTGAGATGGGGGGTGCGTGCGTGGGCGTCAGAGGCCCATCAGCAAACGCTGTGAGGGCTGGTGAGACCGTCAAGCCCAGAGGCCGTGCAGCCTGAGTAACATGCAATAATCAGGGAAAATGACTGAATCCCAGACTCTTCAGATGCAGGTGAAGATGCTGTGTCTAGAAGACTGTTAGATGGCTCGGAAAGACTCCAGTGATGACAAAGATTTCAAATAAAGTGTTTAGTGAGATGTGAAATGGGGAAAAGCAATGTGAATAATTAACTTATGCAATACACTTGAAATGTGTGGCTGATTAGATTAGACATTGTTAGCAGACAGTCAGCTCCATCGGTGATGGGTGCATTTCTCTATATAAATTGAATATAGAGACAAATGCCGTAGATGTATGATGGTCAACGATCCTTTTGGTGTCTTCTCATTGTGAAATCTGAGAAATCATCTTTGCTCTGGGATTGCCCTTAACCTTGACTAACAGGCCAGGAACCGAGCTTCCTAGCTGTCCCCAGGCTCAGTGCTCACAAGAGCACCTCCCTTTGTCCAGAAACCCATGAACTCTGGTTTAAAGGTCACCTGCTTATGAATGCCTGGCATCATTTGTTCAGCTGAGTCTTTCCTGAATCCATGGGAGGGCTGATTCTTGTTTCATTCTAACCTATGCGCTTATATATTTTTATCTCTGTCTTGGTTGTTACCTCTGTAAAATGTGGACAGTTATATTGCCCTGCCATCTCCACGGCTGATGGATGAAAGTTATTTTATGAAGCAGCTGTAGTATTTTATATGTGATGTAATTCTTACATGGTTGCCGTGACAGGTCATATTTCCCCATTTTTCTTTTATTATTGTGCATTGAATTTTATTTAAAGAGTCCATAAAATGTTTTTTTAATACAGCATAGAAATAAATTATCACACCTGTGCATTTGAGAAAGTTGGGGAAAATAATAGATTCTTATGTGCACAGAGAAGCCCTTCTTCGCCCTATATCTTATTTGGATCAGAAAGAGTTACTTTGCTAGAATCAGTACAGCTCCTGCTCTCTCTAAGCAGCGAACAGTCCATTCCATACAAAGGGAGCATCTGACCCCAGAGCTGCAGACGACGCGGATGTTCCAAGGTTACTTATTTCAGCATTTTGTTGGTGAGAAGCCTGGGGTGAGTACAGCTGACAGCCTGGCCTTGGGACATCACTGTCTTACATCATTCCTTCCTGGTCTGTCCTTGGAGCGCGCCGGTTGTTCGTCATTGTATTTTGCAGACATGTTAGGGTTAGATGGTGGCTCTCAAATGAAAGACAGTCCAGCCTGGCAACACCTAGGCAAAGGCGTAAACGTTCAGGGAAGAAGGGGCAGGAGTGGGAGCTGTGGGCTTTGGGCAGGCACGCAGCAGCGGATCGGGGAGCCCGGGGTTTGGGGGGGGACAGTGGATGGGCAGCTGCTAAGAAGGGATGAGCGAGTGCCCAGCAAAACGTGGGAAGCTTAAAGCCACAGGCGTTCCTTGATCATCATCATCATTATTACTGTTACTCCCCCTTCAAAGCCAAAGGAACAGTACTTGTTAGGAATAAATATGATGAAATGGTAAAGAGCCAGCCTTTGCCATCTTGATATTAAGATGAGCGATTTCTGGATAAATCCACTATCGCCCCGTCCCCTTACGGCTCCTACTTAACCTCATCTCCTCCCCGTGACTCAGGGGAAATTTTCTTCCAGTTATTCTTGTTTTATTTGATCTCCTCTCTGGGTCTCAGAACTGGGCTACTGCCCAGATAAGTGAAGTAGACTCCTAGGCTCATCGACTAGGCTGTGTGTGCTTAGCACGTGCGAGGTCCTGGGTCCAGGGTGGAAGTAGATGGAAGTGAGAACGTCTGCTGGAAGGTAAGCTCCGGGAGGACAGGGGCTGGTCTGGTCCCCGCTGAATCCCAGCACCCAGGACAGAGCCTTGCACACAGTGGGTGCTCGTGGTGCCAGATGCTTGAGGGCACAGTGAATGCAGGGACCTCAAGGGTCATCTTGTCCCTTCTACGGAGGGAGACTCTAAGAGCAGGGAGGTTCGGGCACTTGCCCCAGTGCCCATGTTTCACATGATGGTGAGGTTGGAAACTAAACCAAGGGCTCCAGGGGGTAGACTCAGGGCAGTGTGTGTTTCCTCATACACTGGAACTCCTCCTCCACGGTTATGGGGCTGTGGGGCTCTGGGCTGTTTGTGTATCCATTCGTTCATTCAGAAAGTATGGTTGCTATGGGTTAGACCAGTGGTTCTCCATCCTGCTTGCACAGTAGTCACTGGAGAGCTTAAAAAAAAGAGCCCCTAGGAGGGGAGGCCAACCTGATTTACTTTTACCCAGGCACCAGTGTTCTTAAGGGTCCCAGGGCGAGCTGAGCAGGCAGCAGGCTGAGCGCCACTGCGGAGGGAGGGCCAGGCTGGTGTAGGTCCACAGCCCCCAGGGAGGACTGACACGAAGGGGCTACTCTGGGCAGGTTAAGTGCCCAACAGACCCTGCCCACCTCCTCCCCTGCACTGCTCCTGACTCGGGAAGCCCTTGGGCAGTCCACACTGCCTGGATTTGGCTCCCGGTGGAGGTAGCAGAGGTAATGCCATCACTCTCCAGCCCGTGTGCCCCCCAGGCCCCCACCGCCTCTGTGCAGACATCTCTAGCCTGGACAGTTAGTCTCATCCCCTCTGCACCGTCACTCAGTGTCCCTGGACACAGCCCTCCTGGAGCTGGACACTTTGTTGGGGATCCAGAGGGCAGGAAAACGCAGGCTGTGACCATGAGGGCTTCTCCCCACACGAGGGAAGCGTGTTACGCAAAGTGGGGCACCACAGACAACTTTGTTTCATGCTGGGGTTTCAAAAAGAGTTTTCCTGGAAACCTTTGCTGTTTGTTTTCTTAGACTTGAACAGCATGGCCATCAGCACCTTATCAGTGTTCAAGGAGCCTTACTGGATGGTGTGGTGAGGACAGTGTGTGGGATCTGAGGGGCTGGAGCTGCGGGAGGCTGGGGCTGAAGTGCAGGCGTGAACTTGACTCACTCAGGACGCAGTCTGAGGTTCTCCGTATCCAAGGTTACTTCCTGGGATGAAAAATGAGCACCTTCTGCTTTCCAAAGTCGGTCAGAGCCCGAGGCCTGATTGTGTTCAGTTATCGAGCCTCACAGACCTCCGTGGAGTAACGAAGGGACACGCAGGAAGCCACACCAGGCACGTGACCTTGAAGGCTGGCAGTCGGTGGTGAGGCTGCTCTGAGCTGGGGCTCCCAATTGGGAGCCTCAAGGAGTGAAGTGCTGCAGGAGAAGCTGGCAGATAAGCTCAAAGAGGGCCATCCCCAGAACTGTCCACGATGACCCCCACTTCTGGTGGCTGGAGAGCAGCGCTTCTCCAAATGCCACGCTGACCAGGGCAGGTCGCGGCCAGAATGCATGTGCTCCATGCCTCAAGGGAGGGGGCGACGTCAGGGAGGGGAGGTGACATCTAATTACAGTTTTGGGGGGCATAGCTCAGTGGTAGAACACGTACTGAGCATGCATAAGGTCCTGGGTTCAATCCCCAGATCCTTCATAAAAAAATGAAATAAAAATGAATGAATGAATGAATGACAGTTTTACCCCACTGGGACATTTCTGAGGCCTCCTGTCTTGATATGATTTCGGCACATGTGAGAAAATGCCCACCAGGAAAGGGGGCTCCCCAGAGATGGCAACTTGCTGAGCAGCTCAGCTCAGGGGGCCGGGGGGGGACCTGGGAATGCGACCACAGAAGCGCCAGCGGCCCTGTCCCCAGAAAGATGGAAGCTCCTGTGGGCCCCCCATTGCAATCCCAGGGCAGGGAGGACAGTCTGGGAGCACCAGGGAGGGGGCCTGGGTGAGGGCGACTCTGGGGAACAGGACCCTGTGAGCAAGGCGAGGAGGACAGGGCAGGAGACAGGAAGAGTGTCCCCTGGGAAGGGGCTGAGTCCCAAATTGAGAAGGAGCTTGTCTCCACTCTCAGGAGAGGGGCCACTGCGGGGTCACACGGCTGCCAGGGCTGCAGGTTGGCCCTGGAGCTGAATGGCTACCGAAACAGCTGAGGTGGCTGGATGGAGCACAAACCCATGCTAAGCACTTTTATCCACATTACTGTGTTTCTTCCTGACGTCACGCCTGGGAGCTGCCTGCTGTGACTGTCCCTGTTTCACAGATGTGGAAGGCGAGGCACCGGCCCGATCAGTGAGAGAGCTGAGACGCAGAGCCAGGCGGGTTCCTGCACTCCCCTGGCTAACAGCGCATGCAGCATCCTCCGGAGTCTCCGAGGGGAGGGATGGGGCCTGGGGTGGGGGTGGGGGTTGCGGTGACTAGTGTTGCTGCCCAGGAGGGGCGTGGGGAGCCTTGGGGAAGCAACTGAACGGCTCCGCCTGAGAGAGCAGAGCCAGGTGAAGGGACATGATGTCCTTGCCCGGCGCGCTGGCCCTCAGCATCTGGCTGTGCCTGGTAATTGCTTGACTCCAGAGGCAGGACTGGGGGCTGGTGGAGAAAAATGGGGACCCACCTCACTGGTGCCCGTGGCTCCTTTGACCAAATCTGTGCGAGCCCAGACCAGGCAGGAACCGCGGCTCGTTTGTGGCTGGCCCAGCCCCACCCCCACACAGTGCTCTGGGCCCCGGGAGCCCCCAGACAAGGATGAGCTGGGTGGTGCCTGAAGAACCCCTAATGAAAAGTGAGTCCAAGAGCTGTCAGAGGTCCCAGAGTTTCCTCCCGGGGGTGGGCGTCCCCCCGTCCTGTCCAGCCTCTGCCGTCCAACAGTAAGCAGATGTCTCCGGGTCTCCCAGCGGGCTCGTTTGCGGGCAGCGCCCTTAGCTGGCTTCCCTAACAGGCAGAGCCGGCTGGCTAGTGGCGATGCCGACAGCTCCTCCCACCCCTCCTCCGGGAGAGCGAGGAAATGATAAGCCAGCATAAATCACGCTGAAAGGAATGGGTCCTCATCGGGGGTCATTAGGACAGATGACACATTGGCGAGCAGATGAAACCCTTTGATGAAGACCAGTTGTGAAAGCACAAGCTAATGCCCGAGAAATGCGTCGTGGTGACTCCAAACTGCAATGTGTGCATCTCCCCGCTTCCCTCTCTTTCATTAAAAAAAAATGCAGTAAATGTCAAGAATGGTAAAACAACATTTCCTGTGTGGGACCCTGGGGGGAGAGGTTCAGGGAAGGGCAGGTTGGAAAGGATCCTTTTAATCAGTGAGTGCTAAATGTAGTTTGGGGCAGTAATTCTGGAATGGCAGCGGAACTATGAATCACAGTCCTAAACAGGCACGTCTGGCCGGGAGAAAGGAGCTGTAACAGAACGTCTGCTTTGAGGCTTAAGAGCACATATCAGAGCGTGGCTTAACTTACCACCCAGAGATGTCCCAGAGAAGGGAGCCCAGAGCAGCACATGCCCCCATGTCCGGTGTCTGTTCCTAGGAGCGGCGGGAGGCAGCTGGCTCCTTGCCTTGAGCAAAAGCTCTGCAGACAGGCAAGCTGCCCTTCGCGGCCACATGACCTGGGGCAGCTCCCTGGCTTCTGTAGTCCCGCTTCCTCATCCACAGAGAGCCTCATAATCGCAGCACCCACTCAATTGGCAGGTTTCTTTGATTGCAGGCAACAGAAACCGGCTCTGTTGACTTCAGCAGAAAGGGGACCCCAAGGAAGGACGTGGAGTAGCTGGCAGAACCAGAAAGTACAAAGAACCAGCTCTCAGACCGGGCAGGGACCAGGGCCACTGAGATCTCATTGGGAGGGCCAGAGAACAGGCTCGTCGGGGTGCGATGAGTACGTGCTTGCGTACTTATTCCAGAAAGAGTGTCTGATGGGCTCACGAGGCCACCTCCCCACCTCTTGGCCAGGAGAAAACAAGGCACTTTCTTTGGCCAGTGGGGGAGGCAGAGTTTCTGTTACCAGAGGAAGTGAGAAGGTTATGGGGACTCATTTATGTGATGCACGTGAAGTTCTTGGCACCATGGCCACCCTGTCATTGTAAGAGCTGAAACCTCAGAGGTTGGGTCTGAACAATTATAAATCGGAAGGGCTGATAGCAGATCAATAATATAAGCTGTTCTCAATGAAAAGCTAAGGGTGCACATACTCTCACACACAACGGGCACAATTAAAATGGGAAATCTGAAGATCGGAGGATTCTGTCAATGTCAGCATCCTGACTGATGTTATTGGGCTAGAGTTTTGCAAAGATGTTACCATTGCGGGAAACTGGGCAAAATTTACAGACGGTCTCCCTGCATTATTGCTTGACAATTGCATGTGATTCTACAATGATAAAGAGTTCAGTTAGGGAAAAAAAAGCTAATGATGACTTCAAAATCCCAAGACTTTTTTTTTCCCTGTTGGAGTTCATTGTTTTAATTTCTCATCACCCCCCTCCTTAAAAAAATCCCCCCAAAAGGTGTTTAACTAGAAGAATCTTGACTGTTTAAAAATTCTTTTTAAACATTTGAGAAAAACATAGGATACAATAACAGAGCAAGGCCGGGTCAGATTATTCCCTTTCTAAAAATCCTCGTTGTTGGACATTTGCTGACTTGCCCACCACACACACATGCACACGTGCACACGCACACACGCACACACACACAGCCCTTCAGAATATCAGCCCACGTCATCCCCAGTGGTCTGTCTTAGGAAGTTCTGCAGCCGTATCTCCTAAATGCTGGTTCATTTAAGTAAAGGTGGGCCTTGGTGAGTAGCAGCTTGTGAAGGATGCTTTTAGGCTTCCTGGGTCCCCGGGGCCATGTTTACATTTATGCTGGGATTATTTATGCTGGGAGAGGAAACCTCTTGGAGGGACTGCGAAGATCCTGTGGTCAGAGTGCCCGGCCCCTGCTTGCTGTGGCCATCCCAGATGGACTGGAGCCCCTGCTCTGATGGAAGGTGGGATCCGGCCTCACACCAGACTTTGCTCCTTCATTCTCCCCTTCCTAGTTCTTCCTGCCCGCGTTTATTGGTGGTCTACAGTGCATGAGTCCCTGTGCTAAACAGAGAAATTTACAGTTGGATGGAGAACCATGACACGTGCCCCAGTAACGACCAGTCAGAGCCGTGGGTTCGTACGTCCCGGGTGCTGCATCACAAAGCACTAAATGAGTTCAAGAGGAAGACAGCGAATTCAGCCACGTGAGCATTTAGAGTTCCTGCAGTTTAATTATGTTGTAGGCAATGGCTCCATGCTGGCCTAGGCTTTCCAAAGCATTTCCATGAGCTCGTAAGTCCTCTGTTTCCCCCTACAGACTCAAGCATGCCCCCACTCTACCACTCACCCCACTTCGACCACCCTCTCCGGGCTCGAGAGGCGTGGGGAGTAGAGTGTTTGATTTGACTCCGTTAACCATCAGGCGTGGCTAGGTTTTAAGAGAGGAAATTGATTACAGATTTAGAAAATCTCTTCCAGAGCCAACTGGAAAGAAAGAACAGGAACATTTCCGCCGGTAGGAGGCAAGACTTAGGAGAAACGCAAGCTGTGTGGTCTCAGGCAGGTTACTTAATTGCTCTGTTCCTCAGTTTCCTCAAACTGTAAACTTGGGATAATAATTGTACTCCATGAGTGGTTCCAGGAATGAAGTCAGTAAATCCCTGAGAAGCACTTAGAACAATGCCTAGCTCGTGATACACACGCGATAATTGTCAAAAATACTGAAATGGTCCGTAATGATGCACCTGTCAAGGGCATTGATGCCTTCTGATTGGCCCCTGAGGGCAGTAATGCACCAGTGAGTGGAAAGTACAAACTATAAGCAGAGAAATCAAGGGACACACATGCGACTACAGCTCTGAAAACCAAAGTGAGCTGCCTAGGGGCGGGGCCCAGGGATGACTTAAAAGTGTCTGTGCGTCTGGCTCAGAGGCAGAAGGGAAGACAAAAATGGTCATTTGTGATGCGCCAGCCTCTGTGCTGTAGGTGCCATCACGTGGGAATTTTGCCGGTTTTGTTCATTTCAGAGTCCCGGTGCCTCAATGAAAACCTGGCACAGGGCGTAGAGCTTATTATAAAAGGAATAGGTGAATGTTGGCCTTTGGTCCTTTCCATGGTGCAGTGACGTGCAGGAGCTATGGCTGCCACCCTCCTCTTGCCGATGAGGATGCTGGAGCAGAGAATGCGAAATACAAACTAATTCAGAGGGGAGCGTCGCGTCTGGGACTTGAACCCGCATCTGATGCTCTCTCCTGCAGCCCTCCCCCAGGACCTGCTGCCTTCCCGGCCCTCAGAGACCCTTATGATTCTCAAGTCTTTGGTTTGAAGAAATTCCAGAGTTCAGAAAGCCTGTCCCTGAGTCACTGGTTCACAGCGGGGGCTCAGGAAACAGGCTTCGTTTTTATTTCTTGGAGTTTTACTGAATGACTGGACAGAAAAGGAAGTGAAGTGATGGCCAGTGTGTGCTGACTGTATTATCTGTGTGTTGCCACCACGCTGATTTAAGATGTATTTTTAGAGTCGCATGCTCATTATTCATGGTTGACAGTTTTACTAGTACCGAAAACTAGATAAGAGCAAAGAATTCCTGGTTGGTGACTTATTCTCAAGATTGGCGCCCAGCCTTGTCTTAAATGATTCACTTTCTTCTTTGGCTGTGGAATGCCATCAGTCCCTTATGACTGGGGCCAGAAAGCACATGAGTTTCTTGGGGCTGGTCCGGATGTTGGAGTTGCCTGTGTGTCACTGATGGCAGCCTCTTCCCTAAACATCTAACAGTAATTGTCAAGTGGATGAGTTTTTCCAATTTCTGCTACTGCTTGACACGTGAACAAAATTTGGTAAGCATCTTGGTGGCTGCGAAATGTTTGTTGCTGCTGATTTTGCTGACATTGCACTGGAGTGGAATCAAAGCTATTTTGTCTAGGAAAAAGGGGGAGAAGAGTTAATATTGTGCACAAGTATTTTATACAGTGCTATTTTAAAACCATCTCCAAAGGCAGTAATGCATAAATGGAGCAGGCACCTGCTTCACTTAAGCGTCCTGGCATTCTGACTTGGGGTACAGTAAAGTTGATGTGAGGTTGACGGTTTAAGGTTTGACACAGGAAGGGTTTTCTTAGGAACCACGTTCAGATCTTTGAGAGGATAATTGGTGTTATTTTCCAAAGACAAATGATTTTATACAATTTCAAAACTATTTTCACTTAAATATCAAGTGGCATTTCTTCTTTGCTTTAGAAAAATAAGAGCTTAAATATGTACCTGTGTGGATGGCTGTCTGTCAGCAGAGTTCACCTTGGGTTGTCCGTGGGCATTTCCTTGAGGCTAGAACTATTAAACCTGAAATGTTTGATGACAGATTCAAAATAAAGGGGAGAGTTAAGCAAGTACTCTTAACTTTACCTGGACAGATCACCATCCCTATGGACGGTTTTTCATCCTTTTCTCAGTTTCTGAGAAAGAGGGC